AACACACGAATCGGGACGCTCGATTGGCAAAAGCCACACATCGTCCTGTGAGAACTGAACCCTAACGATGCGTATCCCGCGTGGTTTGAATTTTGACGTGTTCTCTGCTACGACCTATTTATACCGATAAAGTGGAATGTCTACCGATATTTCACTTATTACACACTTCCTGGGTTAAACCAAGGTACTGAGTGACCGATCACAGGTCACTCAGTTTTATAGAGTTCGTGGTAGTATTTCTTTTTGAGTAAACAGTTTTGTTTACTGTTTTTGTGGCGTATATCTATGTTCTATTTTTTCAATTTTGAAAGTAGTCCTTTTTATCGGTGCCAATTTTTTAATTTTTCCACCTTTTAATGTTTGCACGGAATGAGGTGGACGGGTGTGGCGGCTGTGGAGAGTTTGTGGCCGAGGGTACCCAGTGCGAAAGATGCCATCTTTGGTAGCGTAAGCGCTGTAGTAACCTGACAAAAAAGTGCTACGACCTATACACGATACACAGTTACCTGCGATGGATCTGTGTCCACTGTATAGCGCTGATAGGGGAATGCTCACTCGTCCCCAGGGATAAAGCGGCTTGCAACACCAGCCAGACGGATCAGTCTAAGGAGACAAAACCTCGGGTGCCCAAAAGAAAGAAAGCAAAGAAAGCAAACCGTAAAGAAAACCGGAACCAGATGCCAATATGAAAGGAAAATCTACCGCAGTAGCTCAGAAGAAGGTACGCGGAGGGTATGGCAAGGATAAAAGACAGGTTGGAACAGCTTGAAAAAGTGCGAAGCTCCTGAAAGAAACTAATTAGGCAATCCTAGGAAGGGCTAGGAATTTACTTCTGCATAACTGCGTGGAGCCCGTGATTAGAGACTCCAAGTCTCGGCACAAGGCGGACCGGAAGTATGTGCAGACCGCGCTTAGGCTAGCGGGGATGCCTGCCATGACGGCAATTATGAACTGTCATAGGGTGGAACTATGGGATGGCGAAGGAGCCACCCAACCCCGGCTTATATTGTTAGCTTTCACGATTGTGTATGCCAGGGACCGCCTATTGTCCAGATCAGTGGCAATAGAAAGCATCACCAGGGGCGGCATAATCGTCACCCCAGATAATGGTACGGTGATCCGTGGAACAAACTGGCCACCCACCAGTAAACAGGATGTAGGGCCGCCGAAGAATGCAGTAGTTAAGCTAAGAAGGGTAGGGGCGCCCGAAGCAAGGTTTTTCTTTCTCTCTGTTTGCAGATTGGCTAAGAAACCGATCAATTAAAGTGGTGAATGCACACTCGTGAGCACACCACCGAAGGAATTCTGGACGCTTGATTGGCCTGTGACCACTACCAGTCCTGTGCAACCTGACCCGACCTGAACTGAACTGAACTGATGTCCTTTTTCTCCATTGAGAGGAGACGCCTGAGAGGCGACATGATTGAAACCTTCAAAATAATGAAGGGACTGACTGGACTAGAAGCCGAAAG